GGTCCTGCAGAAAGCAGGACTAAGTCAGCGGATAAAAAGGTGGATCACGGCGTGACCACCAAATTGGAAATTATGTATGTACCCCCCCCCCCATTTAACAACATCTCCCCCCCCCCCTCTTAATAACAACAACCCGGAAAATATATGGTCTTTGACGATCACTTTTTCCGGGAAATAAATTTTAAGCAAAACCACAATTATTAATATAAACAAATGTTTTCCGTTAATTCCCGCACCAAAACTTTCAAATTTCAGGAGAAAAAAATCAAGGGATATTCGATGATATTATGTAGGTGAATTACACACAACTGACTGTAAAACACATCTGGTACCGGTACCCCAATTAGATTAACATCCAAAGTCCATCCTTTTTTTTACATATTCTGCACAAAAGAAACTTTCTGCTCCGCCCCATTCATAAGAAACGGCGGGAAGTCCTGTCAGTTGCGGGGTTTAGAAAGTATGTAATGTGCAAAATATGTAAAAAAGGATGGACTTCGGATGTATTTTTTGTGCAAAATATGTAAAAAAGGAGAGACGTCGGATGTTAACCTAAATGCAAAATAGATAGAGAAGCTGGTTCTACGTCATATTGCGGTCGTGTCTAGGACACAACCCTTTAATATTTTTTTTTTCATTTCTACAATTTTTTACCAAGAAAGACAACAACTTAACCTAAATCTTATGATTTGGTAAATTTGGTTGTCACAAATTTTGCAAATTATGATTTTATTACAAAGTTCTAGTTTTGAATGATTTAAACTGCTCGTATGAAGTGATCGGCTGTGTTCACAAAGTGGTTTATTGATCTAAAAACCACAACGTCAACGGTTTCATAATGTCGCAAATTCCAAACCCAATAGTTTTTTTGGGTGAATTTAGCAAAAAAAATCCAAACTTTAAACTGCCACACTGCCGCTGGAAGCATAATTGTCCCATGTGTATATGAAACTACATAGCACATGGGAAAATTATGCGTTCATTCTTCGCAGATTTAATAACAAAGGTAAACAAAGCCTCCGTCGAACAGATGAACCGCTCCCTCGGCGGAAGATACATCTGGACAAAGAAAAGCGGCAGAAATTTCCGATACTCCGTAGCCATTGGGGTACTAACCATGGTAACTTTCCGGGTTATCGACTTGGACTCACAATAACCCATACTCGGGGTTCAACCACCGACAAACCGACATGAATGACCAATAAAATTTCTGACCAAAGCACACTAATGACATCTGGCTCCGGGTTCGCTGGAAATATTTAGCTAAGTCATGAACCCGCATGCAAAAGTTATGAATTGGTTCGTGTCTGATCTATTCTGGACAAATTATTTTTATCTAGGTCAAACAATCCTATGGTTTTGACAGTTCGGATCACTGCACATTTAAATCGAGCGTTTACGATTTTCGAGCATAAGTAAGAATTAAGTGTTATGTCGGTTTGTTGGTGGTTCAACTTACAGAACCAGTCAACATCACCGTTGCGTAGTGGAACGTTAACTCTGACCTGTACGGTAGTGACCACTACCCCATACAAAATCAACCCTCAGCGACCTTCGTCCCGGCGGTAACACGGAGGCCGCGATGGCGGTATGAACAAGCTGACTGGGAAATCTACGGCGCCACTGTGGAGACTCTACTACTACAGCGGAACCCGGACAGTATCGAGGAACTCTCAGATGCCATATACGAAGCAGCAACGGCCACCATCCCCAAGACCAGCAGCGTACCGGGGAGAAAAGCTCTCCGCTGGTGGAATGAAGATACGAAGAAGGCAGTCAAAGCCCGGCGCAAGGCACTTCGGCGTGTAAAGTGGCTATCCATCGGACACAATGACAGAGAGGAGGCCCTTTATCACTACCGTGAACTACACAACCAATGCCGACAAGAAATCCGTGATGCCAAGCAATCCAGCTGGATGGATTTCCTGGAAGGGATGAACGCATCGCAATACTCGGCCGATCTATAGCAGCGAATCAACGCCCATAGTGGGAAACGCCGCACGACAGCACTTCACTTCCAGGTTAATGGTTCCACGGTTTCCGATCCGGAAACGGTAGCTGATGAACTCGGTACCTACTGCGCCGAGCTCGCAACCATTGGCAAGTATGACAACAAGTTCAAGCAGAAAACCAAGCCATCGACCGCATCCATCGCAGACTTCATAGTACACCCCGATACCGCCAGTACCGGTATAAACCAAGCTTTCTCTTGGCAGGAACTGCAGCATGCCTTTCGCTGCAGCAACGGGAAGTCGGCGGGACCCGACGAAATCGAATATCCTCTACTCAAGAGGCTACCGGTACCAGGACAGCTACGGATGCTAGACCTCTTTAACAAGCTCTGGCTCACTAACGGGTACCCAGCAGTATGGAAGGAAAGCTTGGTAGTTCCCATCCCGAAAGCCCGGGTAGCCACCCGTGAAGTCAACAAGTTCCGTTAAATAGCGCTAACATGTTGTATGACCAAAGTCCTTGAGCGTATGGTCAATCGAAGACTGAAGCAACACCTCGAAGCTGGAAATTTCCTTGATCACCGACAGCACGCTTTCCGAGAAGGTTTTGGAACGTCCACCTATTTCGCAACCCTAGGGAAGTTCTCGAGTCCTACGACAGTGGTCTGCACACCGAGATAGTATCGCTCGACATATCGAATGCCTTCAACAGAAAGTGGACACCCCTCGTCCTTAAGCAACTAATCGACTGGGGTCTTAAAGGACCCATCGTTCAGTTTCCCCGAGGAAACGGGTGTCCCACGAGGATCGGTTATCGCCGTTACCCTGTTCCTCTTGGCGATGAACGGAGTCTTCTGTCAACTACCGAGAAACATATGTGTTCGTCTACGCCGACGACATCCTCATCGTCACCACCGGACCCACACCAGTACGTACAAGGATGAGAGAGCCCAAGCGGCAGTCTCCGCCGTCGCTAGGTGGGCCCACTCAGTAGGCTTTGAATTATCAGCCTCTAAAAACATCATGTGCCATGTCTGCCCTTCTCGACACAGAAAATCGACGACCAGTCCATACCGCTGAAGAAGACCGTCCGAGTTCTGGGAGTTTTCGTTGACCGATTCCTCAACTTTGAACAGCATTTCAGTACAAGTCAAGGACCATTTCCCAACAGAATAGATCGAACAACCGCAGCATCCGTTTTCATGTGGCGAGTGCAATTATCTATAGTCGCCTTCTATACGGGTTGGAGATGACCTGCATCCCAACGGATAAGCTTTTAGCTACGTTAGCACCAGTCTACAACACCTATGCCCGGATTGGCCTGCTGCCATCCACGCCCGCTGACGCTGCATGCATCGACGTAGGCATCCTGCCTTTCCGCTTCCGTATAACCGCAGCTATCGCAACCAAAGCCGCTGCTTTCATCTCGAAGACATCCGGAAATCAAGGGATCTTCCTCCTCGTTAAGGGAAACAGACTTCTCCGCACGGCTGCCAACGAAGATCTCCCCCAAGTGGCCAGGGTCCACTGGCATGGAGATAAATGCTGGCAAACACCATTACCGAAGCCGGATTAAGGACAGATCCAAAGCCGGAGACAATTCCATGGCCATGAAAAAGACTCTAGCTGAAATGTTAGGAGAAAAATACCCCACGCACACTCACCGATACATGGATGGATCTCGCTCTCGGGCCGGGGTCGGTATCGGTCTAGCCGGTAACATCACACCAACCAGCTGCAGCTTACCGCCGCAATGTTCTGTCTTCTCTGCTGAAGCTGCTGCCATCTTCATCGCTGCTGCAACGCCCTCGGACCTCATTGTGCGCAAAGGCCAGTTGAATATCAGTAGAAAGTAGCGCTAGACAATCGTTTGTTCCTTTGCTCTTGCGGAACCCAAACTGTGGTATTTGATAGCAGTATTTGAAGGATCATTTTCTCCAACAATTTCCTTATGCTCGAAAGAATGGCAATCGGACAATATGAGTTATGGTCAGCCGCTGGTTTGTCAGTCGAATGGCTATTACTTTGACCTGCCTCCATTCAGGTGGTATAATGTTGTTTTCTAGTAAAGAATTGAATAAGTCTAGCAAGCGTCTTTTAGCGATATTTGGGAGATTGAATTTAATCATATCGCTTCCTGGTGAGGAGTTGTTCGATGAAAGAAGAGCCATAGAGAATTCCAGCATTGTGAATGATCTATTCAGAGAGTCGCCGCTCGGAGACGCTTCTCGAAGAATGTGTTCACAGCAAAAAAAAAAATGTAATATCGATCAATGTAATTCAAGCTGATGTATGAAATAATGATGTAATAGCAAAAAGCAGATACAATAGTACATCAATGGATTTAATTTTGTTCGCAAAATTGATGTACATCGTACAACGTTATATTAAACAACCGATGGATTGACCTGGTTGCAGCAGTTTGGATGTAATATTCAACAACTTTTTTCTGTGTTGTATTGGAACTGAGTCCGGAGGTTTTGTGTCTACGAAAAGCTTTGCAAGCATCAGATTTTTCTACATACAATTAATGTTGTGTGCATTCCATCCTGGTGTGGCTGGTCTCCTTTTGAAGGGTGCACTTAGAATATTGGGGATTATTTTTGGCGCAGTGGTCTACTTTGGTGAACATAATATTTAAAAGTTCAAAATTGGTTTGCAAGAACTAGATTATATGAACAATTTTTAAAATTCCAATTAAACAAAATCCTTTTTGTTAGGTAAACCGGTTTAAATTTCTACTGATGAAAAATTTGCGGATATTCAAATAAACTTCCAATAAAATTGATAGAAGCATTTAAATATTCTAAGAGCAAATGTTGAATTGTTAGCTACAAACATGATATATAAAACTAGGAAATTTTCGAACTATTGACCAGGAAAACCGGGAAAAAACCAGACATTTAAAAAAAGAAAATTCAGTTGCCACCCTGATACGATATTCTTTCATCATGAGTTTCATGAGTGATCCGGATTCCGAAGCTACTATTTGCTTGCACAATTTTTTTTTACTATTCTGATTCTCTCCCTCTCTCGTCCTCCTTGCAGGATGTCTTCATGATGATCAGACGGAAGAAGACAACGATCTTCACCGATGCCAAAGAAACCACGCCGGTTCACGAGCTGAAACGAATGATCGAAGGAATCCTCAAAGTGCCTCCCCGGGATCAGCGGTTGTACAACAAGGACAACCAACTGATGGAGGACGATCGGACACTGCAGGATTGCGGCATCACAGTGGCAACGGCCAAGGCACAGTGTCCGGCTCAGCTCGGGCTGGCAGTCCGAGAAAACAACGGCGACTTTGAGCAACTGGAACTAACGCCCTACTCGCTGCCGCCGGATCTGCCCGATGTTATGAAGAACCAGGATGCAGCCAACGGTCAGGATCAGCTTGCCTAATGGATAGTGTGTTTCTTCTGCCTACTGTATAGGTCGCGGGCGGGCGGGGTTGCTTTGTACTGTTTTCTTGCTCCTTTTTCATATCTCTTGAATCAAAGTTTCTATCCGCACTTACAAGCTCGATTGTTTCCCACTCACATATGAACCAACAAACAAACAACAAACCAACGCATACACCACTTTATACTCAGTCATCAACATTATTATTTTTGTTAGGATCGCAAGCAGTTCAACATCAGAAGGTTTCCCAAAATTTAGTACTAGAAACTTTTTTTTTTTTGTTACAATCTTCATTTCTTACGTTACGTCGAATGTTCGAATCGTGTGCAGTAGAAAATGTACGAATGGTGTCAAACGTGGGGACGGTAGCAGTATGTTGTGTAGTAGCACGCTGAATTGCACGGTTGTTTCTACTATTATTATTTTGTTGTACACACAGAAGAACCATGGCAAGATGCAAGATTAAGATTATCGAAAACGGTTTGGAGGGAATCACGCGTGCTACCGGACGAAGAAAGGTCGTTATCCCTTTTTGTGTATTTTATTTGAATTTTATCATTGTAATTAAATTATGAAATAAATTATGCTCGATTTGGGAAAGCGTATTATTTTCTGGTCTTATTGATGATGATGATGATGATGGTCCAAGCTCTTACCCATACAAAGGCGTGAGCTGGACGATTTATCTTTATGATAGTTAAATGTAACATCTTAACCAGATTAGCAAACAAAAACGAACTGGTTACTGTTACAGATATAAATTCCCTCTACAATATACAATGGCTTCTCAGCGATATAAATGTAAAAAGCTTAGGCGTTCTTCTCTTTGTTCACCTCAAATATTCACAAGTATCTCCAGTGATCAAGAGTGCATGCATAATCAATAAAGCATCTTTTAAAACTAACAACACTGCTCACGAGCCTCCGACATTCAGCCAGAAAACTTACTACTAATTCAAGGCATCTTCCAAATAAGCTTCAAAGTTCATTTTTTTCATTCGTGAAATGTAAAATTAAGTCCTTTATATCCGTAATCTGCCATGTGATGATAATAAATGGCCATGTTGTTGAGAGGTATTTTTTTAATTAATGCATGCAATATTCAATATATTTTTTTCGCATCATCTCTGTTTCATGTCGGGTATAACGGGTATAATGAAGATCGCTACAGCTGCTGACGAGATGATAATCATTGGCGACTTCAATCTACCGGCATTTTCTTGGCAATCAGCTTACGGTGGATTCCTGTATCCGGACCACGACCGAACTACATTTCACTCTGGAGCTGTAAGCTTTTGGGATCATTACAGTATCGCCACTCTGAAGCAAATCAACCACGTTGTTAATGAGAACAATCGTAGCTTAGACCTTTGCTTCTTCACCGCTCAGGATACTGCTCCACATTTGTCTATGGCTGGCTGTTTCTCCGTTGATAAAGACTGTTCCACACCATCCTCCTTTAGTTATTGCACTTGAAGGCAACCAAATTCCTGAGGTCATTCCACCCCCCTAGAGGTCGCCTACGATTTCCGAAATGCTGACCACGACACTATCGGGGAACTTCTTTCAAATTTGGACTGGCACGGGACACTCATCCCTGTCGATGTCAATGCAACTGCCCAAACGCTCTCGCATATTTTGGCTTACGTCATTGAGCGACACGTTCCAAAAAAGTTCCTAAACAAGGTAATCTCCGTATGTTAAAGTCTTCCAAAAAAGTCGCGCTAAGAAAATACACCAAGTACCACACCCTACAACTGAAGGACCATTATGCGAGGATCAATCATGCGTATCAACGAACCAGTCGCCAATGTTATCGGCGTTATCAACGAGATGTTCAACGGAAGCTTCAATCTCACCCGAAAACTTTTTGGAATTATGTGAATGACCAACGAAAGGTGTCTGGCCTTCCACCGACTATGGTACTGAACGGCGAAGAAGCTTCATCCCCTCAGGACATTTGCCGTCTGTTCTCAGCCAAGTTGGCGAGTGTATTCTCGGATGAGAACCTACCGGACGAGCACGTTTCTCTAGCAGCCAGTAATGTTCCAATGTCTGGTCAATCTTTGGCAACTATCAACATCGACCACGCTATGATAACTAGGGCGGCTTCGCAACTGAAGTCTTCATTTAAGCCTGGACCTGACAAAGTTCCTTCCATCTTTCTCAAGCAACACATCGATAGCCTGGTGGCTCCTCTCGGCTTTCTATTCGAAATGTCCCTCTCCAGTGGGGTGTTTCCTTCCTGCTGGAAATCAGCTGAGAGGGAAGGGATGCAAAAGAAACATCGACAACTATCGCGGCATCACATCGTTGTGTGCCATATCTAAACTTTCGAGTTGATTGTTATGGAACCATTAGTCTCTCACTTCAAGCAGCACTTGAGCGAAGACCAGCATAGGTTCATAGCAGGGCGGTCGACTACTTCCAACCTTCTGTGTCTCACCTCGTACATTACGGAGAGTATGACAGACCATATGCAAACAGATGTCATCTACACTGACCTATCAGCCGCCTTCGACAAGTTGAACCATCCTATAGCGATCGCCAAACTGGATAGGCTCGGTATAAACGGCAGTCTCCTACGATGGTTCGAATCCTATTTATCTGATCGTCACTTGGAAGTAGCAATCGATGACTGCCGATCTCCTTCGTTCCCTGCCACTTCGGGTATTCCGCGATGTGATGAAAATCTATCTTCGAATCCGAGCCATCGCTGACTGCCACCTTCTCCAACTCAACGCTTTTGCTAATTGGTGCCAACTGAACCGCATGGTTGTAAATCCAACAAAATGTTCAGTAATCACGTTCTCACGGAAGAAACATCCAATTACATTCAGTTATATCCTAGAAGGCGTTGACGTACATCGTGTGAATCACATTAAGAACCTGGGAGTCATCTTAGATTGTCAACTCACATACAGTCAGCATATCTCGTACGTGATCTACAAGGCATCCAGAACGCTTGGCTTCATTTTCAGGATAGCTAAAAGTTTCACGGACATCTACTGTTTGAAGTCACTTTACAGCACCCTGGTCCGGTCGGTGTTAGAATACTGCTGCCCTGTATGAAATCCCAATTACCAAAACAGTGTACAAAGCGTATAGTCTATTTAACGACGTTTCATCTGGTTTGCCCTTCGACGATTACCTTGGAGGGATCCTCATCGTCTTCCAAGCTACGAAAGTCGGTGCCAGTTAATTCACCTGGATCCTTTGTGGAGTCGAGGAGACACGACAAGGGCCCTGTTTGTGGCAGACATTCTACTTGGCAGAATCGATTGTCCTTCTATTCTACAACAAATCGACGTTAAAGTTCAACCACGAGCACTCCGTAACAACGCAATGCTGAGGATACCTTTTCGTCGTACAAACTATAGTTCGTATGGTGCTATCAATGGGCTACAAAGGGTTTTCAATCGTGTTGCTTCCTTATTTGATTTTCACTTGGCACGCGAGACGCTGCGTCAGAGATTCCGTGATATATTTTTAAGAATTAGGAATTAAGTTGGACTTTACGGCCTTTGAAGCTTATTACTTCTTGGCTATATTGTATTTCCTAGTATTGCTTAATCCATCATTAGGACTAAACCGTCTGTTGATGTAGAACCAAATAAACACAATAAACTAACGGAACCCCTATTCTGTTAACCGTTCGAAACGGATTTCCTATATTTTTTTGTATGGGAATTCCGTTCCGAACGGAATATAGAATATAGGTGGTGAACTTTTGTTTGACCTTGGGTTCCCTTGAGGTTACAGCTGAGAGGATGTAAAATGTCAATATCAGTACCTACAAAATGTTGATTTTCACTAGCCATCTAATGTCAGTTTTAGCTCACATAGTTTCAATTATATATAAGGGAAATGGCTCTAATGTTGGCTTATGGATCTAAGATTGGGCCCATCGCTAAAAATCTGCTATTTATCAATTTTATCTAGATGAACGCGTCATTGAGACGGTACTTATGGATATTTTTGGTCGCAATGTAAATTTAGTATATTGCTGAATTTATGTGTGGGCCCAAATTAGGGTCATTTAGGCCGACTTTACATCCATTTCCACTACTATAAATTCCAGTATCTGTATAAAGAAAGAGAGAAGGTTTAGTAATTTACAATAGTACAATACACTGAAGAAGTCTGCACATTGTAGACGAAATACGCGTATCTTTTAAGGATAATCAAATAAGGTAGTGGAATTAAATGGAAATTACTAATCCTCCTCTCTTTCTTTATACAATGCAATGTATAAACTAAATTTTCAATAGCGACCAAAAATATCCACTAGTACCGTCCCACTCACGCGTTCATCTATATAAAATTGATAAATAGCAGATTTTTAGCGATGGGCCCAATCTTAGATCCATAGGCCGACATTAGAGCCATTTCCCTTAGTTGGTTTATTGAGCTAAAACTTGTAACCTAAAAGTAAGATTTTCAACTGTCCACTAGGGATTTTCCTAGGCATTCCTATTTTAAAGCCTGATATCATTGCTAAGACTATCAGTATCGGAAGTGAAATTCAGTGCTGGATATATTAATTGACATGGTCGACAGCACGCAGCACAGCTGATGTTTTCCGGGGAAACTCATTTCGGCACAAAAAGAACAACCACTTACCAAACGCTTTCAACGTAAACGCAAGACTGTATTTCATTTCCTTCAGTCCTCACCGCACCTAATCCGAGTCATCATCATCGTCGTTATCGGTTCCGTGAACTCCATTTCCCCCACCAGCACTGTTATCATTCAGCATTATACTATTCGCAGCAGTGGCATTCTCAATTTCCTTCGCTTCCAAATGGAACTGTAACCGGTCCCGGAAAAACTCCACATAGGTTTGCTTCTGGGTGGCTTGGGCCGGCAAAAAGTGACCGCCCGGATGCGTCAGTACCTGCGGATCCGTAAAAGTGTCCGCTAAGGCCATGCTCATTTCTACGGTTAAACGAAAATGATTAAAAACTCCAATTGTGCAAGACCATCTTTCAATCCGTTTCAAACTCACCCTTTGGAATAATCTCGTCCGCCTCGCCGTAGATGTGCAACGATGGAATCTGCACCTTGCTCTCGTAGAAATTTAGATGCACCAAACTGCCGGATCGGAAACCGGACGACAGTACGGCAAACTCCGGCTTAATTGACGTCATCCCTCGGGCACTCAGATCGCACAGCAGCCCCACGAAACAGGCCCCCTGCGAGAACCCCAACAATCCACAGCACTGTTCCTCTTTCCACACTTTTTCCACCAGCTTGAGACTCTCCTCGAACCCGATTGCGGGACCATTTTTGTTCGTTCCCTTGAAGGTACCGTCCTCCTTGTTGAACCACCAGCCACGCTGTGCCGGATCCGGTTCCGTTCCTGGTTCGCTATCCGGAAGAGGGGGAGCAATGTGTGGTGCCGTTACAAACACCAGTTCGGCATGCTTGTTGATGAATTTCCGGAACGATCCTAGCTTGGATTTGAAGCCGTCGCCGTTTTGCCGATAACCGTGCAAGGCCAGAATCTTTAGCTTTGAATCCTGCTCGCCGGAGGAGACATTTTTTGATGATTTTACTACCGTTTCGTTGGCCATGTGTCTAATTAGATTAGGTGTAAATTTTGAACGTAATATTTTCACTTCACTTGGGGGTTTTCAGATGTGGAAATAATGGAAAAGCGCAACCGAACTTTGGTTGGTGCGTTTGTTTTGGATTCTGCCGCTTCGTTTCCCGACCTCGTTATTCAAATTGTCAAAAAAGGGATGAAAGGGGAAATAAATACGAACATACAGCGTTGCCAGACGATTTATTGTTAAATTCAGTACCAACATTTCAAAGGGGCGTAATTGCATTTGTAAACAATGGCTTTAGCCGTCGATTTCTCGCAAATAAAAGCTCGGGTATTGGAAGATTGCCGCAAAAGCTCAACGCAGATGTCGCCACTGCATGATGATGATAATGTTGACAGACTGCATATAAAATTCGTGAAAATTATCATTAAATCATAATTTTCATCAAGCCTGCGTGAAATCCTTCCAATATAACATTCGAATTGAAGAAGAAACGAGAGAAGAAAACGTTTTTACGATCAGACTGATGTGCATCTTTCCCTAATAAAAATTGTATGGTTAATTTGCTTAACGACGTGTTCTGGGTATCATCCAAACCATTTGTGGAATAGTTCAATGATTTGGGTTATCGTTCGTTTATGGTTATTTTTTATTAGGGTTGACTTTTCCAGGTGAACTTTCATAAGATATATTCATTTCATTTCACGGCTCCATCAATGCTGCATCGTAAATATGATGGTAAACAGAAGTAAATTGCTCAATTACTCAAAATAAAGATGATTTGTCATCTTGTTATCACTTTGAAGACCATCTAGCACCATTTTATAGCATGGTGTGTGTTGAGTAAATCAAGTTCCGTTGCGTTTTCCGTCGAAAATTGTGAGTATCAATATGTTTACCTAAAAAAAGGCCAAAATGAACATTTATTGAATATTGGCGTCCTATACAACCAATCTCCATTACCACCAGCATGATACAACCTTTCCTAAGTAAATTCACTTAATTTCCACTTTCATTCTAGTGGAAATCGCACATATTCACCATTTTCCGAAAAATGCCGCTGCGCAGGAGGTAACCTCTCCCTGTGGGTGCAAACTTGTTGTGCATAATTTTCCATGAAAACATCTCTGATCCATACCGAAATAATAACAGTTAGTTTGCAAACACATTTTCTTACACGATTCAAGCAAAAGTTTCCACGGGAAATTATTAGTTTTTCTTTATGTACCGATTTGCCCCAAAAATCGTCTGTTTTACTTGAAGAATTTGGAAACTATCCTCCTTCTAGTAGTTCTCACTTCGAAATGTAGGTGGTGAAAGCAGGGAAAAGTTTCACTGCAAGACGCCAATCGGGTATCAAGATTGGGTCTGCTTGTTGACTTTAAAGCGTCAGTTTGAACGTTTGTTTTTGTATCCTGGCTCGGGTTGAGGTTCGCACTGAAAATAAGCTTGGGTTCGCAAGGGATGGAACTGGTTTCAAGCTGGATAATAAACAAATTCACTATTGGTTTCATCATTGTTTTTATTGCGATTTACACCACGTGATGGACATTTAGCACGAATTATTGCCAACGCTCTGATTAATTCTATGTTCACTGAATTTTTGCACACAATGATTTTAATTGTTGTGAACCATGAATTTCGTTGCGATTTTATTGTAATCAACTAAAATGTCCAATGTTTTGGTAATTATCTACGGCCCATACAAATTTAAAAAAAATGTATGGAGAATTAATCATGTGATGTTGTTTTTGACATCATCCACATCCAGTTGGCCAGTCATTTTCGAATGTATGGGAATGGTAGGAAACCATTTGGAAATGCATGAAAATTTTCAGTTTTTATTGATTATCGTCTTTATGGGCAGTTTTATGTGCACAACAATTGCACGAGTACATTACTATGGTGATAAGGTAAACACTCGTTTATTTGTTTCCTTCTGTGAAAGCATGTTTAGTCACAAATCGTGGATTTTCTGATATTCTCCATACTGCAAAAATGATTTTCCTACCACTGAAGGGGCGACATCTCTCGAATCTTCAGTATAGCTATTACTCAAATCATATAATTAATTGTCTACGCAGGGGGAGGGGGATCAAGAATCTAAAAAAAAAACTGTCTACGTAGTTAATTAAGGGGAAGCTCACCGCTTCGAAAAAAATAATTACGTTTTGATTTTTCTAAAAATATTGAAAAAAAAGTATCAAAAATCTAAAAAAATCACATTTTTTCTAATTTTTTACAGAAAATTCACGTGCAAAAACATGTTTTATAAGTCATTATGGCATAAAGTTGGACTCAAAAAACCACAAAACATCAACTTTTCGGTTTTTCTGAGGGTCCAATTTTTTTTTCATGATGGGATAGAAAATTTTTTTTTGCATGTAATTTTTGACAAAAATCTAAGGAAGAAACTGATTTTCTTGGATTTTTGATAATTTTTCCCAATATTTTTAGAAAAATAAAAACGTACCGAAAATATTTTTTTATTTTTGGGCCGGTGAGCTTCCCCTTAACAGCCCCTTAGCCGTTCATCCACTGTATTTCCTCTGCCATCTTACACGGCTCGATTTATGCTCATAAATATCTTAACATTGATAGAGCGTCGTTAATTTGCTACGCTGATAAATTGAACTATTCCCATTTTGCTTGAAATTTAATCATTTTGACATTAAACTCAGTTTAATTAACCGGTGAACACTCGTGTTTATTTCAGTTACCGTGGGGACGTAATTTGTGATTAGTCCCGGTCCCTTTCAAGTTGTATCATTATTTATGTACGGTCCATATATTTTAAATGACGTTTCACATTAATCTAGAGATGGCTGATTTTCATTCGAATAATTGATTAACGAACCGAAAAGTAAAATATTTGTAATCGGTTATATCATGCCGATATAAGCATTAACATCTTCAGAGGATCATCACCGATCGTTTCAAACATGTGCTGCACTCTCATTGGTGGAAAAATAGCAGCACAGCGAACAAAAAAAAAACGATTAGTTGTTAATCGAGTAATTAAAAAATGGGACATCTCTGATTTTGGTGTGTTTGTTTTGATAAAAAAGAGCGCGATATTTCATCTCTACCGAGGGGGCAGCAAAACCACAAAATTACCTTGTATACGGGGGGTATTCATTGGATGAAAGGGACCGTGAAAGAGGACACTAAAATAGAAAGTTTTTCTTCTCACAGTTTCATCTTAGTATTCATCTTTGGTTTAATCATATCGAATGATTAAAAATTATTCCTCTCTTTCTTAAAAATAAGCATCTGATATTAATCTCAGTTTAATCATGGTTGATTAGATTGTGGATTATCTTTTTTTGAATAAATTTTAATCATTTTTTATTCAATTTTAATAATTTTTGTTTGAATTTTAATCTTTTTTGATTATATATTTGATACTGGAAAGATTATTTCGATTTTAATCATGCATGACTACTGCCGAAGTAATCATGGTTCGGACTCAATAGCCCTTTTAAAAGAAACTAAACGATCCATTCTACCTCTGGTGGTGAATAGGAGAACGTCAAAAAGAGTGTTGTGAGCAGACATTTTTGCCTTGAGACAGAGGAAGCGGAACACTTTTTTACTTTTTCTGATAAATTGATTCATCTGAGATGCACCAAAACTTAATCTACAGTTAAACAAATTAATTCTGTAACGTTTTTGTAAAGGTCCTGCTGGTGTTCAGGAATATTATTGTTGAGAAAAATGGAAAAAATTAGAAAAGTGCCTTCCTTAGTGGTTATAATCTTCCGGATTTCTTCTGTGTGAACAGTTAAGGTACAAATCAGTTCTGATCTGTGGAAAATCGTACAATAAGACAATTACCGATGGAAATTGGCAAGATGTTGAATGAAAAATGCTTTAATTTGCGTTGTGAAAAATAGTTATGTAAACAAACGGTTTGGTTGACGTTTCTTCTCGAACTCGCGTGGCGCACTCTACGTTGGTGGTGTATTAAAAAGGCCTATAAGGTGAAGCGGGAATCTGCATACTTTTTAAGCTTTTTTGATTTAATTTATCTTTGAGTGCTCGTTTGAGTGTATGATTTCATTCGGGAACGATATCGTATTGCATAGCATTGATTCAATAAAACTATTGTCATCCTTAAGGGGAAGTTCATCGCTCCGAAAAAAATAATTACGTTTTGATTTTTCTAAAAATACTGGAAAAAGATATCAAAAATCTAAAAAAAATTACATTTTTTCTAATTTTCTAAAGAAAATACAAGTAAAAATTTTTTTTTTAAGTCATCATGGCATAAAGTTGGACTCAAAAAACCACAAAACATAGACTTTTCGGTTTTGCTGAGGGTCCAGTTTTTTTCATGATGAGATAGAAAAGATATGATTACATGTAATTTGTGTCAAGAATCTTAGGAAGAAGCTGATTTCCTTGGATTTTTGAAATTTTTCCCAATATTTTTAGAAAAATAAAAACGTGCCAAAACTAAATTTTTTTTTCGGGCCGGTAAACTTCCCCTTAAATTTAAGTACACCATCTACACTCTTAAAATTTGACACATTTTTATCGGCGAATTTCCATGTAAAATTCCACATGATTTTCATTTGTCCAGAAACAGAATCCACTCCTCGATCCACTAAGAAGTACCCATGAAATTTATGCGTCAAATGATTAGTATGTGTGGTTACACATGCATTTTATGTGTACACATATTAAGTATTTGTCTGACATATATATATCATTTGTTTATCACATTGCAAAAATTCATGTGTGGGACACATAACAATAATATTTGAAATTTTATTAGTGTGTGTCACGCTAAATTGAGCAAAAAAATAACCCCTCTCTTCACCCTTTCGTGGCGTTTTTCCTATACCTATAATGCATTGCTTGTCACAAAATCATAAACCTACCTACACACAAAGAACAAATATTGTTGCTATAAAAATATGTAATGCAATTTTAAATTAAAAGTTTCCCAAATTGTGTAGTTTTAACATCGATAATATTCTAAACGAAAGTTATTTTTTTGGTTTGAAAGTGTTTCTTTTAATTATCCACTCGTAATTTTAAAAGCTATTTTTTTTAAATAAAAGTTGTTGAACTGTCAAAAATACCTCCTCATTGCGAGGTTTTTGGC